AAATCTGTGGGACACTGGGAAAGCAAATAAGAGGGAAGTTCATAGCATTACAGGCCTATCTCAAAAAACAAGAAAAATCTCAAATAAACAATCTAACTTTATAATTAAAGATACTTGAAAAAGAACAACAAACCCAGCCCAAAGTGAATAGGAGGAAGGAAATAAGAAAGATCAGAGCAGAAATAAATGAAATAGAGTCTAAAAAATTATACAAAAGATCAATTAATGCAAGAGCTGGTTCTTTGAAAAGATGAACAATATTGGCAAAACTTTAACCAGACTTATCAGAAAAAAGAATAAAGGCGCAAATATATAAAATCAGAAATGAAAGAGGAGAAATAACAACTAACTCCAAAGAAATACGAAGGATTGTAAGAAAATATTATGAACAGCTGTATGCCAACAAACTGGACAACCTGGGTGAAATGGAAAAATTCCTAAACAAACAATCTTCCAAAACTTAGTCAGGAAGAAACAGATAATCTAAATAAGCAGGTTACACCTAGTGAAAAATTGAAGCAGTAACAAAAAAAAAAATCTCCCAACAACCAAATGGCCTGGTCTGGATGGCTTCACAGGTGAATTTTATCAAACATTCTGAGAAGAACTAACACCTCTCCTTCTCAAACTATTTCATAAAATTGAAGAGGTGGGAAGGCTCAAAAACTCTCTTTATGAGGCCAGGATTATTCTAATTCCAAAACCAGATAAAGACACTACAAAGAAAGAAAATTATAGGTCAAGATCCCTGATGAACATAGATGCTAAAGTCCTCAACAAAATATTAACAAGCTAAATACAGCAATGCATCAAAAAGATCATACACCATGGCCAAGTGGGATTCATTCCAGGAATGCAAGTTTGGTACAACATTTGCAAATCAATAAATGTGATTCACCACATAAACAAAATGAAGAACAAAAACCACATGATCATACCAATAGATACCAGAAAAGCATTTGATAAAGTACAGCACCCATTTATGATAAAAAATCTCAACAAAGTGGGAATAGGGGGAACACACTTAAACATAATAAAGGCCATATATGACAAACCACTGCCAGAATCACACTCCACAACAAAAACTACAAGCATTTCCCTTGACATCGGGAATAAGACAGGGATATCCACTTTAACCTCTCTTATCCAACATAGTACTAGAATTCTTAGCCACAGCAATTAGGCAGGAAAATAAATAAAAGGCATCCAAATTGGAAATGAAGTAGTAAAACTGTCTTTACAGGTGACATGATACTGTACATAGACACCCCCAAAGATTCCATCACAAACTACTAGAACAGATAAACAAAATCAGCAAAGTAGCAGGATACAAAATTAATATCCAATAATCAGTTGCATTTTTATATGCCAATAATGAAGTAATAGAGAGGGAAATTAAGAAAACAAACCCATCCACAATTGCTTCAAAGAATAAAATACCTAGGAATAAACCTAATCAAGGTTGTAAAAGACACGTACTTGGAAAATTAGGTCACTGAAGAAAGAAACTGAAGAAGATATAAATAAGTGGAAACATATACCGTGTTCATGAACAGGAAGAATAAACATCATTAAAATGTCCATACTACCCAAAATAATCTATAGATTCAATGCAATTCCTGTCAAGATTCCAATGACATATTTCACAGAACAAATATTTTAAAATTTTATATGGAACCACAAAAGGCCCTGCATAGCAACAGCGAACCTGACAAAGGAAAACAAAGTTGGAGGAATCATGCTACCTAATATCAAACTATACCATAAGGCAACAGTAATCAAAACAGCATGGTACTGGCATAAAAACAGGCACATAGATCAATGGAACAGAATAGAGAGCCCAGAAATAAACCCACACCTTTATAGTTAATTAATATTTGACAGAGGAAGCAAGCACACAAAGTAGGCTAAAGACAGTTTTTCAATAAATGATCTTGGAAAAATTGGATACATGCATGCAGAAAAATGAAACTAGATCACCTTCTTACACAACACATAAGAATAAATTCAAATAGGATTAAAGACTTAAATATTAGACCTAAAACCATAAAAAATCCTAGAAGAAAACATAGGCAGCAAAATATCAGACATTGCTCATAGCAATTTTTTTTATTGGATATATCTCCCTAACAAGGGAAATGAAAGAAAAAAATAAACAAATGGGACTACTGCAAATTAAAAATGTTTTGCCCAACTAAAAGCTACCTTGCTAAGATCGGGAACAAAACAAGGATATCCGCTTTTACCACATCTATTAAACATAGTATTGGAAGTCCTAGCCACAGCGGTCAGACAAGAAAAAGAAATAAAAGACATCCAAATTGGAAAGGAGGAAGTAAAACTATCCTTGTTTGCAGATGACATGATAGTGTGCATAGAAAACCCTGTAGCCTCCACCAAAAAACTACTCTACCTAATAAGTTAATTTGGCAAAACAGCAGGATACAAAGTCAATATTCAGAAATCAAAGGCATTTTTGTACACCAGCAATGAAATAGAAGAAAAAAAATTACCATTCGATATAGCAACAAGGAAAATAAAGTACCTAGGAATAAATTTAACCAAGGAGGTAAAAGATTTGTACACAGAAAACTATACAACACTGAAGAAAGAAATTAAGGAAGACACAAATAAATGGAAGCATATACCATGCTCATGGATTGGAGGAATTAATATCATCAAAATGTCCATACTACCCAAAGCAATTTACAGATTCAATGCAATCCCTATTAACGTACCAATGGCGTATTTCACAGAAATAGAACAGACATTTCAAAAATTTATATGGAACCATAAACGACCCCGAATAGCTGCAGCAATTTTGAGAAAGAAAAACAAAGTAGGAGGGATTACAATACTGGACATCAAACTATATTACAAAGCCACTATACTCAAAACAATCTAGTACTGGCACAAGAACAGACCCATAGACCAGTGGAACAGAATAGAAAGCCCAGAAATAAGGCCAGGTCTCTATGGGCCACTAATATTTGACAAAGGGGGTAGAAGCATAAAGTGGAGTAAAAATAGCCTCTTCAACAAATGCTGTTGGGAGAGCTGGACAGCTACATGCAAAAATTGAAATTGGATCATCAGCTGACACCATACACAAAAATAAACTCAAGATGTATAAAAGACTTAAATATAATTTGCAACACCATCAAAGTCCTAGAGGAGAACATTGGCAGGAAACCCTAAGATATCCCATGCAGCAATTTTTTTACTGATATGTCTCCTAAAGCAAGGGACATAAAGGAAAAAATAAACAAGTGGGACCTCATCAAAATAAGAAGCTTCTGCACAGCTAAAGAAAACATCAGCAAAATGAAAAGGGAGCCAACCATATGGGAAAATATATTTGCTAATGATACATCAGATAGAGGTTTGATCTCCAAAATATATAAAGAACTCACTCGACTCCACTCCAAGACAAATGATCCAATCAAAAAACGGGCAAAGGACCTGGGCAGACAATTTTCAAAGGAAGAGATACAGAGGGCCCAGAGGTATTTGAAAGGATGCTCGGCATCCCTAGCCATCAGAGAAATGCTGATCAAAATTACAATGAGATACCACATCACACTGGTCAGAATGGCCATCATAAACAGATCAACAAACAACAGGTGCTGGTGAGGCTGTGGAGAAAAAGGAACCCTAGTCCACTGTTGGTGGGAGTGCAGACTGGTGCAGCCATTGTGGAAAGCAGTGTGGAATTTTCTCAAAAAGCTGAAAATGGAAGTGCCTTTTGATCTAGTGATTCCCCTGCTGGGACTATACCCTAAGAATCCCAAAACGCCAATTCAAAAGAACCTATGCACCCCAATAGCATAGCAACGCAATTTACAATATCCAAGAGTTGGAAGGAGCCTAAATGCCCATCAATAGATGATTGGATCAAAAAATTATGGTACATTTACACAATGGAATACTACACAGCAGAAAGAAAAAAAACCTACTACACTCGCGACAGCAGGGATAGAACTAGAGAGCATTATTCTAAGCGAAATAAACCAGGGGGCGAAAGACAAATACCATATGATCTCACCTATAAGTGGAACCTAACCAACAATACAAAGATGCAAGGAAAATAAGACCAGCAACACTGAAAGGAAAAGAAACCAACAAAGACAAGAGGGAAGGGGAGTAGGGTGGGCGGGGGGAAAAAGAAGGGAAGGGGCAAGTCAAGGGACATATAGCAAGGTCTCATGGACAAAACCAAAGTGAGGAAGGATTGAGGTAGGGAGGGAGGAGGGGGGCTGGGAAAAGTGGTGTGGGGAAGGCGGAGACACATGTATTTGGGAAAAAATAAAATTAAATTTAATTAATTAATTAATTAAATTTTAAAAAATATTTTTAAAAACTGAAAAAAAATACGTTTTGCCCAGCAAAAGAAATCATCAACAAAATGGAAAGATAACCTACTGAATGGGAGAACATATTTGCCAATGATATATCTGATAAGAGGTTAATACCAAAATTTATTGATTGATTTTTTTTTTTAGAAAGGGAAAGCAGAGAGAGAAAAACAGAGAGAAACATGAATTTATTGTTCCACTTATTTATGCATTTATTGGTTGCTTCTTGTATGTGTTCTGATGGGGGATAGAACCCTTAGCTTGATATATCGAGATGATGCTTTAACCAACTGAACTATACAGCCAGGGCACTATCCAAAATTTATAAGGAACTCGCACTACTCAACACCAAAAGAGCAAGCAATCCAATTAAAAAATGGGCAAAGGACCTGAATAGACACTTCTCCAAAGAGGACATACAGATGGCCAGTAGACATATGAAAAGATGCCCAATGTCACTAATGATCAGAGAAATGAAAATTAAGACTACAATGAGATATCACCTCATATCACACGTGTCAGAATGGCTATCATCAATAAATCAACAAACAAGTGCTGGAGAGGATGTGGAGGAAAAGTGAATCCTAGTGCACTGTTGGTGAGAATGCAAATTGCAGTCATTGTGGAAACCAGTAGGGAGTTTCCTTAAAAATTATAAATGCTCTTTTACCCATGGGAACCTCGTGTGCAATACTGCAAATACTAGCATCCTTGGTAGTGTATGCAGTCTGTTGCTAGTGTGTTTTGTCTTAACGAACCTTGGATACGGCCCTTACTAGTGGACATTCATGTCTGACCTCACGCTATTCCCAGTCCGGGCTCCAGACAGGCATGCAGGGTGCCTTTGGAAAGCCCCAGGGCACAGTGGGCACTGTCTGCATTGGCCAAGTCATTATGTCCATCTGCACCAGGCTGCATAACAAGGAGCATGTGATTGAGGTTCTACACAGAGACAAGTTCAAGTCCTTTGGCCTCCAGAAAATCCACATCTCCAAAAAATAGGGTTTTAATAAGTTCCATGAGAATGAGTTTGAAGACATGTAGCCTGAAAAGCAGCTCATCGCAGATGGCTGTGGGATCAAATACATCCCGAATTGTGGTCCCCTAGAAAAATGGTGGGCTCTGTTCTCATGAGAGTCTCTGCTCCCACCTTAACACCCACTAATAAATCCTACTTGTTGTCCAAAATAAAAAATAATAAATAATAAATGGAACTGCCTATAACACAGTGATTTCACTTCTGGGAATTTATTTGAAAAAATCCAAAACACTAATCTGAAAGAATAATGTACCCCTATGTTCACTGCAGCACTATTTACAATAGCCAAGATGTGGAAGCAATCCAAGTGTCCATTAGTAAACAATTGGATGAAGATATGGTACATTTGTACAATGGAATATTACTTGGCCATAAAAAGGATGAAATCTTTTCATTTGCAACAGCATGGATAGACGTGGAGGGTATTATGCTCAGTGAAATAAGTCAGAAAAAGACAAATACCATATTATTTCACCTATGTGTAAAATCTAAAGAACAAAAATAAATGAACAAACAAAACTGAAACAGAGTCATAGCCACAAAGTTGGGACTGGTGCTTGCCAGAAGGAGGGGGGTTGGGGGACTGGGTGAAACAGGTAAAGGCAAAAGAAGTACAAATTGGCTGTTACAAAATAGTAACAGGGATGTGAAGTACAGCATTAGGACTATAGTCAATAATATTGTGATAACTATATATGGTACCAGGCTTGTACTGGAATATGGGGGTGGGGAAAGTGGGAAGACTTTGAGGTTAAAGTATATATATATGATTTTCTAACCACCATGCTGTAAACCTGAAAGCAATACAAAAGAGTAAATTCCTTTCCTCCATCAGGGTGAAGTCTCTTTCTAGTGCGCTCTCTTGGTGGAGCCAAATGGACTGCTAACTGGCCAAGGAGAAGGCTGGTTCACAGAACCCCAGCCCAGTTCCTGCAGGGTTTGCAGCTGGAAGTCATTAACTTGATGGGGGCGCAGAGTCCCTTCACATTTTTAATCTTAAAAAGTAAGAAAAAACTTTATTATATTTAAAATGCAGATTGAAAGGGAAAGCTGTCTTTGAGAACATGAAGATTGGAAAAATGGGGAAAAAAGAATTCAGCTAAGAGGAAAAAAATCTAAGCAAAACAGCAGGAGAAAAACTGTCCATGCTTAAATGCAATACTTACATGTGAAGCAGCAAGGGAGAGGAACACAGAGCAGCACCTGAGCGCTTTTTGTGTAAGTAGGACATGTTTGTACTAGAGAACACTAAAGAAATTCAATTAGAGTCTTTGAATTATTTTTTGGATTTAAGAATCACCGAAGGCTCAAACTTGCTAGTTATTTCCACAGTCTGGTATAGTATCTGTAACAGTAGCAGTTAGTTACAAATAAAAGGATCACAGAGACAGAGGCGATGGCCGCTGAGGATGGAAGGAAGTCTTCCCTAAGAAAGACACTTGTGCATTAAGTTAGCCTTAATCGGGGCCAGTGCCTTAGAGATGACCACCAAGATGAGCCTGGATGGGGGCAGAGGCCAACCCACAATAGGTTTTAGATAGCTTAACACAAAGAAACTAAAGACACTGGTAGAAACTCCATGTAGCCCTTTCTCCTTGAGAACTCCATCAGATGTTAATACCATGCTCTACCACTGTTTCTTGGGTGTGTATTAAATCTTGATTTTATATTTACAAACAATCATGAGGACAAGCACGTTCACATCTTTAGTGCATTAGTTGTCATTTAGAGTAACCCAGAGACCCCTTTAGATTCTCCCCTTTTTGAGTTTAGGCATAATCCAAGTTAATAACGCTTTATTGAACACAACTAGCCAAACTTCAAGATGAGAAGATGTGATGAAGAAGAAAAGCATTCCTGGCATAGGGAAAGTTTGAACAAAGACACTTAAGTAAGAGCAAAGAAGACATTTAATATGTAAACCTCCAGATGGGCTGGGGGTGGGGATGAAGACACCTGTCTGAGAAGGGCTGACCCACTAGACTAAAATGCTCTGGAGCTTTTGCCCCAAGGCAGTGAGGAATCACTGGAGCATTTTAAGTACGGAAGTGACGGGGGTACATTTTTTGTTTGTGACCAATCCCAGTATGGATTAGAGAAATAAGAAAACGCATTTGAGGATACCAGTGCAACTGCAAAGGCTGAGCAGAATTAGAAAGCCACTTCCATAATACCGTGTTGTCTATGTGAATGTACCTGGTTCTAGAGTAACAGCATAAGCAAAGTATTTGTTTCTTTTTGTACATTTTTAATTAAGCAGTTTGATTTCAGTGAACATCCTCTTTAACAAAAACCCTACATTAAGCAGGCTTGTGGAAAAAAGGAGTTGTATAGGTCCTCGTGTATTTCTGCTTGAGAGGCAAGTAAACTCTGGGCTGAGATGAGATCCAACCCCCAGTTCTGCTTCCTCTGTGTTAATTCCACTTTCAGGATCCCAGTGGCTCCCAGGTTTCCTCTTCTTGTTCACAATATCTGGGCAGGTGTAATCCAAGAAGTCTTTTTGCCACCAAACCTTTTACCACGTTTCCCAGAAGCCTGGCAAACACCACGTAGCATTTTACTGACTGACTGCAGGGCCAATAATTCTATTAGGTACAGTAAGCCCCAGTGCCTAGGGCACATAAAACTTTAAGACACCCAAGAGGAAGTCTTAATTTCTTTTAAAATAAGATGAAAATAAATGTCTAGAATAAACTTCCTTATAAAATAAGGCTACTATGATAATGGATCCAAAAGTTATTTGATAAATAATTTGACAAAGTGGAATGCTGATCATACATGTGCATAAGTGCTATTACTGTTTTTGATTTTTATGCTGTTTTACATCATATAATAATGCGGTGTAAATATACATCTAAGGGTGAAAATACAATTAAGGTCGTTTTTGCTCATCAAGACTGTCTAACGTCTTATTCTTGGTAGGGCTATTTTCTAGTGCTCCCAAGCAGAGACTTAAAAAAACATAAATAGCAAAACATACATTTGAATAAATTGAACTCATGTGGTGAACTCAGATACACATTCTTTTAATGAATTGTGAACTAATCAAAATTTCCTTCAAAAAGACATTTTTAGGGAACCAGTCTGAAGAAAGTCAAACCTACATATATTCCAAAACCACTCAGCCATTGGGATGATGACAAAGTTCTGGAGACAGATGATGGTGAGGTTGCACAAAGGTGTGACTATACTATGACACTGAACTATACAATTAAAAATGGCTAAAATGGTCAATTTTATATTATACATAAAAAGTTTTAAAAAAAGCCAGTTCATCCTGTATAAAACCAAACTTGAAAATATTCTCCAAATTGAGCTTGAACTTTCATTATACATTATTTGGGTTGATCCTTGAGTGACTACCACACTGGTGGTTCATAAGTCCCTGCCAACATCTTCCTGAGTGTATTTGGCTTTGTTTTGAAGGATAACATTTACTGGATACATAAAATATAAGTCATGCCCTTACTGATTCATTAAAATAAGTAAATAATTACAGAGACCACATAAATACATAGTTTGGATGAAAAATCATATCTTTAGCTCCAAGAAAATGCCTATTGCCTTTCTAGCATATGTGTTCAATACTTGTATTTGTATTTGCCAAACAATCATTCCTCCAGAGATACCCTATGACTGCTTTTAATTGGAACATGTTGGACTGCTTTATCTGATGTCCAAATCAAACAAAAATATTTGCATGGAAAACTGGCTGATGGTTCACTGTCCATCTTTAGGCCAAGGTATGCACACAGCTCAAATTATGTTCAGTTCTAGTCTGTTGGGATCAATGCTCCATACAGAGTTAATGGCCCTGTGATCCAGGAGATTATTATCAAACATCTCAAGTAGAATTCTTAAGCCAAGTGGTTATGTATTTTCAATGCAAAACTGACTTAGGTTTATATCTGTTGTAAACTCAGGGTGTCGTTTTCCAAGACTCTTTTCATGATAGCACATAAGCTATTCTGCAGTAAGTCTAGGTACACAGTAATAAAATTTTGTGTTTCATGTTGCTTTTATTTTAACAATTTTCTGTTATGGCCAATTTAATATAATTTCAGCTGATTATAAGTATTTTTATTAATTTAAATGTGTGTTTAATTTTGCCCATTTATAAAGTGATTACTACCCAAGTAAATTCAAATGGCTTGTTGCAATTCTTCTTCAGTAATGCTTAAGGGTAGTTTTTACCCCTAAGAAAAACCATATATTCTTCTCCAGTGTAGCTTATGAATATATATATATAAAAATTAATGCATATATATGTGTAGAATACCATGCATAATACCACCATTGATGATGATTCTAGTTAATAGTTCAATCAGTTACTATGTAGTGATGTCTGATCAAATAGATTAATTTTTCAGATCATGTTTGACTTTTTTGTTTTGAAATACAGTGACCACATTTTATAGTTTGATTATGTTACTGTCCTTTATGTCCTCTTACTAATACTCATAGCTTACCTACCTTACTGGTACCAGGCATTATATAAGCATGAAATATGAGTTAATTTATTTAATACTTATAACACTACTATGGGTTATGTATTATTATTATTATCCTTACTTAACAGTAAGGAAAATAAGGCTCAGAATTTCCTACATGCATATAGCTAATAATTAAAAGAGTTAGGATTTGAACCCAGACAGCCTGTCTTCAAAAGTGCTGTTTTTAATCCCCAAATTATAGCATAAGCACATCCTTATAAATTTCCTACCTGCATCTACTTCCTCTTTTATGCTTGTCTTCTTGTACCCTGTACTCATATACTATTGTCTAAGACTCTTGGTTGTTTTGTTTTGTTTGTTTTGGGCCTTTACAGTATTTATTTTAATGAAAATTATATGGTAGAGGGTAGAAGAATATTCCTGATTCAGTTGCTTTGCTCTGAATTACTGGGTATTGGTCTCCTTGTCAGTGGTGACTAGCAATCAGTAAGGATTGCTAGAGCAACTTTGTCATATAGAAATCAGCTTCTGCAGAAATACGATAGAATAAAAGATATCACAAATATATTTTAAAGCTGTTCCTGTTGAGGGTCCATATAAAGATAATCTACATGAGTACTGTGATAAAGAAAATAAAAGCTGAGGTCCAGTATTATTCCTAACTTGTCTCTAATGGGACTTAGAGTTGGTAGCAAGTCTGAGAATAGGGGGCTACCACTTCTGATTCCCCATTTGGTACTGATTCTCCTCTGCTCTCAAGAACTCACCATCTCACAGTGGGTGTTGGGAAATAAAAAAGACAGTGACAAAACTGGGAACGTGTTAAGGAGAACATAGGACGGAAAATGGAGTCTAAATGGAGAGACCAGAAAATGCTTCCGAAAGGAGATGTACAAAACTTTAGAGCTGACTAGGTAAGGAGAAGGGAAGATGCCTCATGCAATGAGAGCAGCATGTTTAAAAGCCCCAGATCCCTGAGGCTGCACCTGGTCAGAGACTGCAACTCACTCAAGACGTCTGGGTAGGCTGGAGCATGGGAAAGAGGAGGCTGGATGTAGACAAAAAGAGAAAAACCAGTGTCTCCTAGGCCATACTGAAGAATTAAATTTAGGTAAAGTTTTTTGGAATGACACTGGAGAATTTTATATAAAGAAGTGTTGTGATTAGATTTGCATTTTTAGAAAGAGTGCTCTAGCAGTTTGTATTGGACTCTGTGGTGGAGAGAGAGGACTGTAAAGACTAAAGGAAGGATGTAGGGACAAGAGGAACCTTGCAGTGGAATGGAGAGAACAAAGCAAAGTCTGGAGATGGTATAGAAACAATGATGTTATGAAAACACATGCCATAGATATCTGTTGTATGACATCAAGTCAAAAATGCAGAAGGAGGAGACACTAGTAGATTTACCATGAGGCATCCAAGTGGAGACATCTAGTTGGTATAGGTTCTGTGGGTCTGATGCTGAGGAGACTGTTCAAAAGAGAGAAAGAAATGTGATTGTCAACCATCCATTTAATAAACACCTAGTGAGCATTTATAAAGTTCCAGGTATTGTGACAGGCCCTGGGAATTCAGAGAAATCAAAGCAGAGCCCATCCTTGTCTCCCAAGTGCTTAGAGTTTACAGAGGAGATGAGGGACATGCAAAGAGTTAGGGAAAGGAAAAACCATAGGTGCCATTATGCAGTTGTGTCTCGAGCATGGTGGGGTAGTCAGTTCTCCCCGGGAAAAGTTAATTTGATACAGTGCTCTGAAGTTATATTCTCAGTGTCCATGAAAAAATAATTTGCATAAGTGAGAAAGTGCTAACTTGCTCACAAATTTTCTTTGGCATTTGATTTTAATGGATAACATGCTCATTGGTGAGTTTATCTAAACCATTGTTTCAGGAATAATAGTAGGAGCTGACATTTATTAATTGTTTACTACATGTCAGGTAATAGTCTAAATATTTCAAATGTATTTTCTTATTTGATCCTCCCAAGGACTTCAGAAAATTAGTACTATTACAATCTCTATTTTATTTACTCTGCACTTAATGTTATTTATTTCTCAATAAAAACAATTATGATACACAATCTCTTTGTGTAAATTATGTTAATCAAGTTATTAAACACCAAATAGCACTTTGAATTTTTAATCACAATAACTGGAATTGAAAGACACTAAGATATAATACTTTTTTATTTAGTTGCCTTACCTTCATAGAAGCAAAGCTTTTCAGGGTAATTTTCATATATAATCTCTAAATTACACATGAGAGAATGAAAGCACAGAAGGAATGAGTAATTTATCCAAGGGCACCGGTTAGAAGATGAGTGATCTAGAATTCAGGTACATGGAGTTGACTCCAAATCTTGTCTCCCTTTATAGGAAAAAAAAAACAGAATAAATGCCAAGAGAAAAGATAGTAAAATGCTTTTTGCATCATCTGTTGTATATGAATGTTGGCATTTGTTATTTCCCTCTTTTTAAAAATTGTTATGAGGTTAATTTTTTTTGAGAAGCTCATTACTGTTTTGGATGAAAAAGCACAGAAGACCTCCCCCTCTTCCACGCATGGACTGCCGGGCCTCCTCCCGGCAAGGTGCTTCCTCCCCGCAGGCCTGCAGGGAGGCCTTAAAGTGCCTCCCCTTTACAAAGATACTTAGTTTTTATAAAGAACTAGTTAGTATAATATATCTTTTGAATAATTATTTTGGCTGAGAGAAATAATATAATGGAGAAAGTTATCATTCATTAAAGGAAAATTATCAAATATTTACTCTGGCATGTCAGGCAATCTGCCAACCTCTAGAGATAAAAACAAATGAAATATGATTTCTTCCACGTTACAAAGAAATAATGTTTAAAGCCTTCTTTTCCTTTTCCCCATAAAGAAAAACCACCCGCAGAACATACAAAGAGCATAAATCTTAGTGGGTGATATGGGAGGAAAATCATATACTTGCATTAACATACTTAGTTTATACATTAAGATACAATAACTTAGTTGGGTTTCCAAAGTAAAGGGCCATTATTAGACCCTTAGAAATTTCTTTTTACTTTTATCATTAATTTTCTGTGTAGTCCAGCATTTTACTTTATAAAGTCACTCTTTTGCAGAACTAACACAATCTTTATGCCCTGGGTCTACGTATTTGGGTGTATTTTAATTGACTGAAAACCATTGACATTTGTGTGTTTATGAGCACTCTCACAGGTAGTAAATTATTCTCTTGATTTCCTTAGTTGGTTGTGTTTGCTTTTGTTCAATTCTAGCCTTCCGATTCATTAAACAGGTTCAGTCAAGCCAACACCTCTTTTACTGGATCCTTCATCTTGTATGCTTTCTTTTAAAAAAAAATATCAATTCTAAACACATTTCCTTTCAGTATTATTATTTTACCTTACCTCTCCAACTCTTAAGTCGTTTGTCAAATATTGCTTTTCTTCCAGAGAAATGACAGAGATTTTTAGCAACATGTTTGGTGTCTGAACACAGTGGTGGTAAGAAGTGGTGTAACCTCACATCTCCAGTGGGCGGCCCTGAGGAAAGAGCATCTCCACGTGGAAGGTGGTCCAGCACTGCAGTGCTGTGAGGACAAGTATGGTAAACTTATCCTTAGTCTCCTGGCTTTAATCTCCCCAAAAGAAAGGAATAGCAGTAGGAACAGGAAATTTTGTGAATGAATATAAAACATACCATACAGAAACAAAAAACAAATTACTGAATTTTCTGCTTAAAGTTTCGTTCTCTTAGTTTGGACCACGGTACAATGGCTACAGCAGTGATAATCTAAAAGTGAAATTAATATTCAATTAGAATGTACTGTGTGTCAGGTCTGCTGATGATAATTTTTTAGGTTATGTTTGAACTTTAAAATATTTGATGAATTGTTTTTGTTTAAGATTATAAATTTAATAGAAATAATTTTGGATCATGATTTAAAAAGCATATTTGGGGAAGCTGCCTTATTGACATCTTATAACTAATGATAATTCCAACTTAACTGCCAATCTGACTTTTCGGGTTTGATAGAAATTGCCATTAAAATATATTTGAGGATATAGAAAGAGGAAGCTATTCTGAACATTAAATCAGATCCCTAGAAATCAATCTCCTGCCTCCAGTCTTACTCCTTTACAATTAGATTAATCTTTCTAAATAGCAATATAATCATGTTACTATTTGCCTCAGAACCTTCAGTAACTCTTTATTGTCTACAAAAAGGTAAGGTAGTTGATTACAGTGATGGTCTCCAAAAAAATTAAGTATGCAAATATATATTTCCTCTATATAAAATTATATGTGTATTGCTATAATTCTCTAATATCTTAAGTATAATCCTCTCTTAGCATGGAATTTATTGCTAATCATCCTGGTTTAACTTCATGTCTCAAATGGTCTTCTTGATTGACTAATTGTGTTAGACTACCTTCTCCTCTCATACCTGATTAGATTATCATTTGTTTAACATGGTTGTCAAAGAAGAGCAGGGGAAAAATCAGCCTTGTGATTGTCTTTTGTCTGTGCTTGCATTTTAATATTTCCCTTTTGTGGTTCCCTTGTAGGGATCTTTTCATGGATTGTCTACTTAAAATTGTCTAAGATATATTATAAAATTCATCAGTTCACATCAGCAAATCTACAATATACAGCTTGCAAAGACTTTACAGTCGGGTCCCTGATAAGATACCCAATCTTGACTTCTGTTTTTGGAAATAGGGCAATTTGATGTTAGAGAAATCTTTCCAAGTAGGACACACATAACGATATTGAATAAAATATTTTTCAAAGGGATTACTGATTAATGCTGGAAGAGGAATTAAGGAAACTTCAGAGGCCAAAAACAACAGGAAAATGGAAAATGAGCACTAGGTTTTAATGGACCACCTATGGGGTAAGGAGACAAAGCTGGGGCCCTTACCAGGATGGAAGGTTAGACCTGAGACATTGGCGTAAAGTCTGGACACTTAAAGGACAATGTTCTTATTATGTGAACTAGGGGGAAAAAATTAACCATCATTTTAGAGACAAATGCCTGCTACATTGTAGGATGATTGACAGAAAATAAAAGCTCTAATAATCCCTAATCTCAAGCCTGAATTCACATGGGTTTGTTGACTAAAATTCACACTATCTTAGTACCCACAACAATCCCCCCTAAAAAAAAGACCAAAAATTTATTTTAAAGCAATTCTAGGTGGTAGTGCTCTCTGGAAGAAAGCACATTAAACTTAGGTGTCAAAGAATTCTCACAGATAAAGTTCCAAAGAAAATAGGCTCAAAATAAAAATTACTAAATGCACACGAAAACAAGACACTGAGAGTCAATAGAAACAACCAACCGCTGTATTCACATCTTAAAGACCATAGATTTTAAAACTGACAGTAAAAAAGACTATGCAATAAGTATGTTTAAAGATGCAAGATAGTTTATTGAAACCTTAATGAAAGAACAAGTGACTATCAAAATTGATTAAGAAAATTAAACATACAAAAGTGAATTTCAAAAAATAAAATATATAATATTGACATTAGAAACTCAATGTTTTGGCTAAATAGCATATTAGAAATGATCTGCTGAAAAAGATCATTAGTAAACAGAAAGGTAACAGAGCTAAAGAAATAATCAAAATGTAAACTAGAAACTCGAGGATTGAGTCTCTAGTTTAAAAAAAAAAAAAAAGATAGGTAATTCAGGATGGGGGGGGGAAACCCTACATACATATCATGTTAGTTTCACTCAGAGAAAACAAAGAATGAGAGGGAATTTAATTAGATAATAGCTAATAAAAAAGAGTAAAAGTTTGCTGTTCATGACAACATGGGAAACTAGAGAGTATTAGTCTAAGTGAAATAAGTCAGACAGAGAAAGATAAATACCATATGATTTCATTTATATGTGGAATCTAAGAAACAAAACAAAAAAAAAAAAGAAAGAAACTGACAGATACAGAGAACTAACTGATAGTTTCCAGATGGAAGGGAGTAGGGGGGATGGATAAAAAAGGGGGAAAGGATTAAGATGTGCAAATTGCCAGTTATAAAAACAGTCACAAGTATCTAAAGTACAGCATAGGAAATACAGTCAGTAATACTGTAATAACTATGTAAGGGGCCATATGGGCACTAGACTTACGGGGTGATCACCTCAAAAGGAATATAAATATCTCATTACTATGTTGTACTTCTGGAAAAATATATTATGTCAGCTGTAATTGAAAAATAAGAAATTATTTAAAGTAAAAAAAATTCTCTTTATCAATACACTATAATGAAATTTCAAAATACCAAAGGGAAGTTCTTAGAAATAGCCAGCTATCTTACTTGGTATACAGATCAACTGAGTTCTCAATCACAATAGTGAAAGCCAGATGAGAATGGAATGATATTTAGTTGTTGTCAACCAAGTCAGTTCTCCAACGTTAGGTGGCATTGGGAAGTGTGGGAGAGTGTTTTGATTTTCACAAAGACTGAAAGTGTGACTGGCAAGTTACTTAACTTCTCTGTATCTGTTTCCTTATTGTTATGGGAATAATAATACTCATCACAGGATATTGTTGTGAAGACTACAGGCTATGCTAAATACATACAAAGCATTCATAACAGGGCATGGCACGCTAATGTTAACTATCACAGTACCCTGGAGATACATCTGGTAATGCAGAGAAGAGTTAAGGCAACGAAGAATTGCCTGACTCAAATTTCCAAGTCCATCATGAAAAAACATTAAAAACCTACCCAACTTCTTTTTCCACTATCACACTATCTGTCTTCATCTCACCTCATCATATCCTCTCCTCTAGTCACTCAGAATGCACTTTTTCATCTATCAGATAGCTACAGAAAGCCATAGTAGGTGCCAGGAGCTATTCTTTGCAACATCTTATGATATATATTATTGAGGGCACATGTGGCAAACACGAGCTTGTCTCTGGCTATCTCACTTGCTCTTCCAGTTCATTTGAGGAACTTACTTTCCTCACCCTCTCTCGCAATTGCAGTAGAGCTACACAATTGGATCCTGCTTAGTGCAATAGTAGAAATAATGTATACAACTTCCGGGCTGGGTACAAGACATCCTGTGCTATCCTCTTCTTCCTTGCTCTCTTTGTGTACGAGCATGCTAAATGCGGAGGACCGGGGTGGACTCCAAAGAGACCAGGAGTTCTGAATTGGCACATCCAAAACATTTAGTCAGACTTCGACATAAGTAAGACATGAATCATTATCATGTTAAGTTATTGAAAATTTTGTCTTGACCAATACAGCATGAAATTTTTCCTTTTTAATTTTGTAAACTTAAACTGAAGCACAGTGCCTAGGTTATAGTAGACCTCTATAATATTTGTTAAGACAAAGAAAGGAGGAAGAGAGGG